AGAAAAAAAACATGGTTTACCAACTGTGATGATGTGATGAATGTGACATCTTTCTCTCATCAGACAGCTGTAATCAATCCTTCATAGAAAACGCTATCATGGAATTTTTCTGTTGGAGGAAACGGGAACGCAAAACTAGTCTCCTGTTCATCATTAAAGCCGTTTATGCACCTACGACGACTTCCAAGTTTGAGAATCCCGTAAATGCCCATTAAAGAGATACTCCACCCAAAAATGAACATTGTCTCATCATTTACTCATCCTCATACCATCCCAGATGTATATGACTTTCCTTTCTTCTGTGGAATAGAAATGGAGTTTCAGAGAAAAATAATGCAATGGAAATGATGGTAATCCATACGTCCCCAGTTGATAAATCAATGTCTTATGATGAGAAACAACAAAAAAATATGAAACATGTGACCTGGTAATCTTGAAAGCGATTGTTTATAGTTTTCTCAAACACACTTATTGTTTTGCTTCAGAAGACAATGATTCATCAAGTGCCCTTGGATTTAGCTGGTCATAGCTGGTGCGCAGGCTGCTTTTAAAGGGGTTTTGACCACTTCTTTAGCTGGTCAGGCAGGCAGACCACCTAAAACCAGCTCCTTCCAGCTTAGACCAGCTAATGGGGTCGTACGGATTATTTCTTTTTATGTGGTTTTTGAAACTTTAACTTTCAGGGATCCATATACTGACATTATATGGAGAATCTCCATTTGTGTTCCACAGAAGAAAGAAAGTCACATACATGTTTGGGTGGAGTATCCCTTTAAGGCCTGTGAAAATGAGTGAAAAATGAGGTAGCTAAATGGCAGATGAATGGTCTTTTCACATCAGAGTGGAACGAATATGCATCAGGTTGAAGGAAGCACAAAATTCCTGCTCGTACAATAGAGGGTGCAACACGAACCTTTAACCTATGACATCAGTGCGGGACAGAACCTTACGAGAGCGGAAAATCCTCATTGCCTCCAACCTGCTGGATTTTGTGGATAAAATGTCAAAGCTGTGGGAGCCAGCGTGAGCGGAGAGGACCTGGAATAATGTACTAATAAATGTAATGTACCCATCCAAACTCTACTGTGGAGTACAAGTCATCAATACTGTTTTCTGTGCCACCAAGTGCTCTGATATATGAACCAAAACTCAAATATTTTTTGATGGTCTAACTCCAAAAAACTGACATGCTCACCGTACAAAGTAACTTTGCTTTGTCAGTAGGCACATGTTCATACAGCATACCCATATTTGTGTTTCATGTATTACTATTGTGCTTTGTATATTCTGTCATTGAAAAGCACATCTCGCTACAACAATTTGTTTGGACAATCTAGACGTAGATTTCTGCAATGGTGCTCTTCACACGTTCCTCAAAATAAATAGACCGGAATAACAGATTTAGAAAAGACAAAGAGAAGATTAAATGAATTAGAATGTCAAATTAGACACACCAAGGTCCATTTGTTCTTCATTTAGCCCAATGTATTTTTGTCAGTCTTGATTTGAACACCTTTCGGGTGCATCTTCATTTCACATTTGATATGAAGGCTCAACACTGAAAAAACAACAAAAATAAGACTGGCTCGCTAACATTATTATACAGATTTCATTATCAAACGAATTTGTGTGAAATGACAGGAGATGATTTCTAGCTAGAAATGGAATACAAACAGAAATCTTGTTGTATATATTGACAAGTTTGACACATTGGGAAAAGCTCAGTTCTCTATTGTGGTTCGAGATGCTTTTTCAGAGCACGCTTCTCATTTCACACTGATTCCCTTATAAATCAGACGTGCTTCAAATCCGTCTGTGCCCTCATGGAATTCTAAGAATTGTGAAGGAGGATTGTTACGAAGGATTTAACACTCTCTGTTCCTCGACTCGCAGTAGCATTTGAGGGTGTTGTTACAGCAGTTAAAGAGCACAACGGTGTCCCTGGTACTCTTTTAAAAGCTGGAAATTGTGCTAACATGTAATTACCCAAAGTACAACTCACAGTTGAGGCTTAATACGCAGCTCATAAAGTCTGGTAATGAGATTTAATGGCTCCCATAGACGCATCTCGCGTCATCAGTTTCGGATGGTGTAAATTCTACAGATGCTTTGCGGGCAGGTATTGCTGTGGGGCTTCGCTGCGTTCCCTGTGAATATTAATGCAAGCAACTCATTTTATCTCTGCGCTCAGAGATCAGGCTTAGAGATTTCATTCCCGCTAAAGAGACACTATTTACATTTTCTTTCGAAGAAAAATATTTTACTGCAACATTGAGAACTGAAATATAACAGTTTAATATTGAGCAGTCAGAGAAGAAATATTTTATATTTAACATTAAATTACCTGAGGTTTAATGGCAACAAACAAGTGCTTTGTGTATGTTCAGCACAAGCTCACTGATGTAAAGCTATGCTACTGTGAACAGGAATGTCTAATTATACTTTCATTAACACAGCAGATGTCCTAGTTTAAGCTCTGGTTTCATAACCACAGTAGTGACGGAAATTAACATTCCCATTAAGGGACGTTATTTGCCCCCTTAAATTGATTTCCAGAGGCATTTTTTACCTTTATAATGGCTTTTTATAACCTTATTAAATGTATCCGTCATCTGTCAAATTTTTACATTTAATTTAATTCAATTAGAATAATAAAACACTATAGGGCTGCTACCAATCAAATAAAATCAGCATCTTTGCACTGCATGTAAAGGGGCATTTAGGTGCATTTACAGAAGCTCTTTAATGCAGCTCTGAGGTGGCATAAATAAACATTAACAGGACCTCAGGGATCATCATAAAATAAAAAAAGCATTTCAAGTCAAGGTTACTCACTATCTTTATGGGTGAGTCATAGAATCCTTCACCTGATTTACTCAAAATCTGATTGTTTTTCACATTCAAATTTATATTTAAACTAAAATCTAACTTTATTCATTAATCAGATTTACATTTAGTAAATTAAGATTTGTAAAATTATTATTATTTTTAGATCAACTTTCTAAAGCTTTCTAAAAGAAATTGTGGAACAAATAGACATGGGTATCAATATTTTTGGCAGCGACTGCAAGTATCATATCTGAGTCTGTGGTTCAGATTTTGTATTGTCATGGTCTCTGTCACTTTCAGACCCTTCACAGCTCAAGGGCTCTTTGTTTTGACCAAGGGTGATTTCCCAGAGGTCCTCCCAGAGGTCCCAGCACAACACTATTAATGTAGCAACAAGGTACAACCACTCCACAATCAAAAACGGGATATAGCAGCTGGACAAGTGTTTAAAGACTTGATGTAAACCTGCAAGAATGAATGAAGCAAGCCTGGAATTTCCTGTGAAATTCGACCCAATAGCTCAAAATCAAAATCAAATAGGCAAAAACAACCAAACTCAACAAAACCACTGGCTTCTCAATGGCAATTCAAAACTATCCCAAATTTGCTGCACTGCCCTGATCACCCACTAATGGCAATTATGATAATTCAGATGTTAATTACATTTACATGTGACTGCCAGAGCGAAAATAGGCTGAACGCATGCATTCCCTGTCATGCATGGTGGGCCAGTTAAAATTTGGTGCGTCGACTTAATTGTAGCTTGAAGGGGGGGAAAGAGGATCTTGGAATTTCAAGGCTCGACCTTTGCATGCACACGGCTGAGGACAGCAGACAGAAATGGAAACAATCAGACCTAGTCAAAAGGGGAAGTGCTGCTAAAGCACAGCAGGCACCAGTGCCACCACTTACCATAGTTTTTATGGAGCCATTTTTGTGCCACAACTCTGTACACACAAGGGGATATTGTAAGCACGCAAAAGTATTTTACATACATGGGAACTCAGTTTTAAGCATTCAATTCTAACAGAAATTCTGAGATCTCTGTGACTGCAGTACATGTGCAAGATCTCACTGGCTTTCTCTCCTCATACATACTCTGTGTGCTCAGAGCTTTCACTGCTCACATGCTCAACGGCGCATAGCTTTTGCACCAGATTTTCAACCTATGAGGGATGAGGGGGAAATATTGATGACTGGGTAAATTTTTTTTAGAAACAAAGTGTCACATTGCCCTTCTTTGCAAAAAGATACACGGTTTTACAATACAATAATTCTTTACACATGGGCACGCCTTTTTGCACATAAAATACACTATTGCATGCACAGGGTATTTGGCACAAAAATAATAACATTGTGTTTCTGTTTAATTATTCTTCTTGCTAACAAAAGAATGTTGTCTAATGGCTCACAATCACAATTAATGGCCCTTGATGACTGATCTTTTCTCCTCTGGCAAGTCATTTCTCAAGCCATTGTCGTGAGGCAATGATACATGCATTTGGCCATGCAATGACTATTGCTTTAACACATTTCTGGAGAAAGCAAAGGCAACTAGCTTAGACTATAGATATTCGTAAGCAGGGTCAAAGCTAGGCTTAGTTAACACATGCTGTGCAATTAGAGGTCTACGCTTGGTAGCGCTGTCATTCCTTGAGCCTTTTTGCAGCCAATGATAACTGCATCTTTCCATGCACATGCTATGCATTTTCCTTTACCACACACCAAATGATATTGAAATTGTCTAAATGTATTGGAAATCCCATTCTCTTGGAAATTAATCAGATTCCAATTGGAACAAGTTGAGATAATTTTATTCTAGGCGTTTCATATGCTTTTGTGAAACATGCCAATTGTGAAGATCCCCCTGCAGCTCCCGGTCTGAGTTTACGGGTGAGATTTACAAGGTTACGGAAAAAATAAAGGGGAATAGGACTGCAAAGACTCATCAGCCACTCGAGTCGAGCGAATGAGAGCCTTGCTTGGCTCACTGCCATAATATGCCTTCACAAGCAGTCACTGCGACAATCACACAAAACGATAATCCCATACACTTCAGCTATTTTGATTTAGAGGACTCTCTACAGTACTCAAAATTAAAACTAAATCATCCATAACAGCCTATGCTCTGCAGACAAATCAGACTCCATAAAGACCATAATGAGTCTTACCTTCATCTGGATCGGGTGGCCCAAACTCCAGATTGTATCGCAGAATGTAAAAATTATTCCACACGTATAGCTGGTTATCCCTCGGGTTGTAATCCACAGCTGCGATGTACTGATACTGGTTAGGGAAGAGGATATTGACATACTCCCCTTGCCCCAGTTTGGTGTTATACACATAGTCAATTTGGCTCTTACTGGCCTCGCTTTCATTCTCTTCATAGGTGGAACGGACCACGTGAAGTATGCCGCACACCATGAAGGCATTGGAGGCCGAGCGTTTGTCGTAGACGGTCTCCCAAGTGACCTCAAAGCGCAGAGTATAAGGATTGAGTTGGCTGAGAACGATACGTCCGTTATTCTGTTCTGTAGCGTAGATAACCCACAGTCCCCGTTCATCAACTGCCAAGTCAATGTCCGTTTTCCCGCCCCAGCGATACGGCGAGGTGTCGTGGTAGTTGGCATTTGCGACTATGGCCTCCCCGCTCTTTATCCGAGTGCGCAAGTCAAACTTGACGATATTTCGCGTGCGTTCCTTGTTGAAGAAGATGGCCCCGTCGTATGCCACAAATCCGGTTCCGTCAACACGGTGTGGAAGTTTGTAGGTAGTCGTCTGTCGGCCGCTTCGCAAGTCGTCGAGTGAGGCGTACTCTATGAGCGTGTCGGTGCGGTACGGAGTCCACGGCATGAAGTAGATCTTGTCCCCCGCCTGCAGGGGGTCTTTGCACCAAGCTCCGGATTGCTGTTCCGCCTCAAAGACAAAGGCTGGATCTCCTACCACTTTCAGAGTCCCAGGGCAAATAAAAACTGGGAAGAAAGTTCAAGAACCAGAGTTAGAAAACGAACCAGGAATGCACGCTACAATGCACTCCAATACCTACTATGCATACTTTAGGTCCAATTCTTTGGGTGTGTGTAAGTAAAACATGGCTTTCAAAAGCTAATGTACCACATTTTCACTTAGGCAGTGTGATAACTGGTGTTGCGTGCATAGTCGAAAGAAAACGAGAGGTTAAGTGAGACTCTGTTTTGAGGTGGCCTTGCTCCCTTGAGATGGTTCTCAAACAAGCGTAACTGAGAGGAACAGACAAGAGGGAAAAAAGAGGACAGCAAAAAAAGTCCTGTAAATGAAAACAGATGAGAGAAACAATGCTAATGGACAGATAACATTCCTTTTGGAATATCTACGTTCACGGTTCTTTTACGTCGACAGTATGGGGAAGGTTTGTCGGATTGGTCGCAAAAGCCATACCTTTGAAAGTAAACACACATACATGGATTATGTCTGAGGAAAGAACCAACGACACATGAGAGGCGGGAGGAAAGGACACGGAGGTCGAGGGAACAGGATGGCAATGCTGTTCAGGACAGATAGGATGAGAGCCAAAGAGAAGAGTCTTCGCTCATGTCACTGAGGAACGAATACGAGAGCGAGGCCTTTGCCAAACGCGCCCGTCTTTGGTTGGTGTTGAACCAGTTGGAAATGCAAAGTCTGTGGTGAACAGCATATCACATGCAGATGGCTACAGACAGTCGGCCTCTCTCTCCCATCAATATCATTGAAGGAAAAAGCCAAATAAAATTCAGCCAAAGTTCATTGTACATGAACCAACTGTGTCAAAGAGCTCATCTTACTTTAACGTGAAGCGTGCGATTGTTGTGCTACTAGTAGCATTGAATAGAATGGCATAAAAAAAATTTTCAAACAGGTTTTCAAGCTGTTTTTCCCTGTCTTAAAAACAAAAAGGTCGCACTTTAGTCTCGCCATTGGCTGAGTCAAAGTTGGGTTGGACTAGACACTTAAAGGTAATTTTTTGTTAACCCCACAGTGTTTGCACTTTGCAGGGGATCAACTGAAAGACAGCTTACTTACAATTGGCTCTGCACATTAAACTGGGAAATTAGAAAGCATTTCATCATAAAAATTGCACGCATGACCTTGGGTAATGGACAATAATATACAATATAAGATTTCCGTTTAATATCCATGTGTGAAGTGTATAAAAAGAGGTTGATTTTTGACATTTTAACCTCCAACCTAACATTCTCTGGGCTTGGGTTCGATAGATCTCCATCTTGATATCATGTAGCAATATTATCAATGTTGAAAACAGTTGTGCTGCCCAATATTTTTGCAGAAACTGATACATTTTTATCACAGGATACTCTGTTGAATAGAAATTCCAAAAGAGCAGCATTTGTTATTATTAATTTTTTTTAAAAAGGGGTCATATGATGCTGCTAAAAAGAACATTATTTTGTGTATTTGGTGTAATGAAATGTGTTTATGCGGTTTAAAGTAAAAAAAAAACACATTATTTTCCACATACTGTACATTATTGTTTCTCCTCTATGCCCCGCCTTTCTGAAACGATCTGTCGATTTTTACAAAGCTCATCGTTCTGTAAAGCGAGGTGTGCTCTGATTGGCCAGCTATCCAGTGCGTTGTGATTGGCCGAATACCTCAAGCGTGTGACGGAAATGTTACGCCCCTCACATACTGTTGATGCCGTGTCCGGCCGGAGCGACGAGACAAAAATATTAAAACCCATTATAAACGAGGCATTTGTTGCATCCAGTGGGGACATAATTACTGATTATAATGACTTATACTGTCTTTTTACGCGTTGCGTTGCATTGCATCACGCCGCGTAAACATAAAACTTTGTCTGCATTTGTGATCAGAGAAATGACAAACAACAAGTGCTATTCTACACTGCCCAAAACTTTGAATCATCAGTGGCAAATCCTTTAGATGAAAACGTACTTACGTGAGTCAGAACTGCCGACATTTTAGTCTAACGTTACTCTCCCAGGATCAGTAAACAGTCCTCCATAAAATGTGCTGCACACATCTGAATATTTGGGTTAAACTGTTCTGGAACAGTGTTGTAAATACCACTGATTTGTAGTCGTGTCCTCTATTGGAAGAGCAAACAAAGTAGTTTCGCTTTCACAATGAAAAACACAGCGGCCTAGCGTGAGGGGAAGGCCGGGCTAGAGTGAGCTGAGGCGGCGTGGTCGAGAACGGTGCGCCCGGCGGATCCGACGAATGAGCAGCAACCACATGTGATGGACCCCGGGCTGGACTCCGCTTCGTCCACGGTGAAAGTTGATGTATTCCCTCAGCGACCAGCACAGATCAGCTCTAGGCATGACGAAGCGGATATCGTCCTCTTTTGGAAGACCAAACAAAGTAGTTTCGCTTTCACAATGAAAAACACAGCGGCCTAGCGTGAGGGGAAGGCCGGGCTAGAGTGAGCTGAGGCGGCGTGGTCGAGAACGGTGCGCCCGGCGGATCCGACGAATGAGCAGCAACCACATGTGATGGACCCCGGGCTGGACTCCGCTTCGTCCACGGTGAAAGTTGATGTATTCCCTCAGCGACCAGCACAGATCAGCTCTAGGCATGACGAAGCGGATATCGTCCTCTTTTGGAAGACCAAACAAAGTAGTTTCGCTTTCACAACGAAACACACAGCGTCTTCACGACATGGCTGCAGCGTCAACAAAACTACAGTGAGACTAAAAGTTACGCCTTCTTTCTTTGCGTGAACATTTGGGCGGCGTTATGCAAATCTTCCCACATAGTGAGGTAGACATGTGGGGGCGTGTTAGAACGAGCCGTTTTAGGTAGGCGTGGTTAACTCTGAACTTTTATAAAGAATATCTCTTTGGATTTGAGACTTTAGTCTTTGCAACTTTACAGATCTTCTTTATGCTCCAAGAGCTTGTAACACTCCAAAGAGAAAGACCAAAATTGAAATCGCATCATATGACCCCTTTAAAGATATTTGTATGGGCCTTTTATGCATTTTTTATAGATAGGACAGTAGAGAGAGATGACAGGAAAGCACTGGGAGGAGAGAGGGAGTGGGATCAGCAAAAGACCTCGAGACAGGAATCGAACTCGGGTCCCCGTGAGCGCAGTTGCGCTGTATGTCGACACACTAACCACGAGGCTATTGGCGCCGACAAAAGAGCAGCATTTAACATCATAAATGCATTTACAGTCAGTTTTGATCAATTTAATGCAGCCTTGTTGAATGAAAGTATTTTACATTTAGTAGACGCTTTTATCCTAATCACTTTTATTTTCCGCCACAAAGTGGTAAAGTTTAAAAAATGGTCACACTTTAGTTTGGAGACCAATTCTCATTATTAACTAACTATTAACTTTGACTTTTGCCTCAATAAACTCTTAATTTGCTGCTTATTAATAGTTAGTAAGGTAGTTGTTAGGTATGGGGTGGATTGAGGATCTAGAATATGGTTATGCAGAATAAGGCATTAATATGTGCTTTATAAGTACTAATAAACAGCCAATATGCTAGTAGTATGCAAGCTAATAAGCAACTAGTTAATAGTGAGAATTGGTTCCTAACTTAAAATGCTACTGAAAAAGTTAATGTAATTACTAAAAAAATAAATACAGAGAGAAAGAAATATTTGATTTTCAAAAGACATATCAGAGTCTCAAAAATTTTTGGTCACCACAAACAGGACATGGTCCTCTGACATCCATCTGAAAAAAAACTAGAGGCTTTCAATAGAGAGACAAACACAAGAAACAAAGCATCTGTAGAAAAGATGTCTGAAGACATCTCTCAAGGACACAACGGCCATTAGCTGCAAAACGGGACAAAGAATCAGAAATCCAAAAGCTATTAAACACAGAGTAAACACCTTTCCATTTAATCACTGACGGAGAAACAACGGCACGAAGCTAAACGCTGAAACAGACAATGGCTCGGTTCCAAATCCTAATGAGCTGCTTACTGTATAGAGAGAGTATTTTAAGGCTTCATTGTTGCACTCAAAGCATGCCAAATGTCTGTTTCTTTCATGGATAAGGTCATCCCAGAATGCACTGCACTGGTTATTTATATTAATTTTAAATGTATAAATATATACACAGCAAATAAGTGTACTATTGGGTTTGTGTTTTGTATTCTTGCACTTGTTAGGTTATTGTGTGATTTTCTTGGCAACATGGTAACATGAATTGTGACTGTTGATAGAGTTGCTGCGCATGAAGAGAGTCTGAAGTCACTTAGGATGTGTGTTTTCATTTAAGATGCTTCCTAAGAAGAGCAGCTCACTATGTTTTGGAACAGAGCTATGATATAAGGATAGAAGCTGTTAGTAAGCTTACTATGTATGTTTGAAGCGGTATATTATGTGTGGGGTGCTATTACTTATTCAACATCAAAACATGGGTCAAACACGAAAAGGGGGTTTCAGCATCAAAACAATAAGTTTAATATAGCATTATTTGTATGCATTTATTTATTTATTTTTAATAGACTATCACACATTTTTACCATGATTTACACAGCAAAAAATTGTGTCTGCATATTTACTGAATCATCAGATGACAGTGCAGCCCTAAAAATACTAATTGATTGCAATTTTAAATCTTTACCAATCTTTGCCACTTACCTTCAAACCACTAGGTTTGTATATAAAATATAATCAAATTTAGTAGGATCACTTTTTCTTGTACATATTTTATTAAGTACAGATCAGAATAAATATCTTGTTTTATTTTTACATAAATATATCTGTTATGCTGAATGACAACGGAACATTATTTCACCCACATATTGACATTTTATTTTCACAAAGGTTATTTAAAACATTAAAGCAGACACTTTACTTGCGTTTAATATGCTTTTCTGTATATAAAATCATTTTTGTAAACTTAATTTGATGCGGACACCAAAATGGGACGTATCATCTTTGACCCACATACAGATGACGTTTTAGGGTTGTTTTATTTATTATTATTTAAAAAAAAATAACTTTAATGTTATATGCCATACCAAATTCCATAATATTACATTTCAGCATTTTCCTGTTCTACAATTACTTCGCAAAGAAATTACAGTAAAATAAATGAGATAAAACTGTTATTATTATTTTTTGGTATTATATATTTCAGAATATTTGTAAGATCACTTACTGTATGGCACACATTCATACTGGACCTCAAGATACTTGTATGTCCCAGGACACGGATCTGGAAAGACGTCCGAGCCAGTGATGACAACACACTGCGTCCGATTGTTACACCTGAAACACCGAACAACATTCAATGAAATCAATTAATGCACAAAACTCCTCAGAGAAGTGTTCACTTAAAGGGACAGTTACCCGAAAATGAAAATTCAGTCATTATTTACTGTTTTGAACATATTTTAAAAAATGCTGGTAACCAAACAATTTCTGGTCCCCACGGACTTCACTGGGATTTTTTTTTCATACCATGGAAGTCAATCGGGACCAACGACTCTTTGCATACCCAGATTCTTAAAAATATCTTCTTCAACACAGTTTTAACTTCACATTAGCACCTTACATGACCTCCTCCCACACCTCTAGATTAGTTATGTGTCCATCGAGCTTATGAATATTTGCTTCTGCATGAAGACGTCTTGTATCATTTTTGTTAATTGCACCTTCCTTGCATCATGTTCTGCATGCACTGAAGTGTGGCTGTGTTAATGCATGCTTACACATCCTCATGTTAACCACAAGACACTTTAGCTTTAGGCTATCCAGGGGGAAAAAATGTATTAATTAAGAAACAAAATCATTAATTCTAACTCAAGGCCAACTGCAAGTAATTCTGATGCGGAATATAAAACAGAAAAGTAAAAAAGGGCAGAAAACCCTAAAGGACTTTCAAATTCTCTTCCAGAAAACTTCCAGTTTTGGGGCTTTTCACACTGTTTAACCTTGGGTTATTGTCTCTTTAAACCCTGATAGCTCCGGAGCAGGGTTAGCACCAGGGTTGCCAAGTCTGTGGTTTTACCGTGGAATTGGGCGACTTTTAAACTGTTGCTGCTGGCTGTATCTTTTCTCCCCTGCAGGTTAAAAGTTTAACATATTGCATAAACTGTATTTGACTGAAATGCTTGTATTGAAATCTTTTACCCATTTTAAATTTGACCAATGCTAAAACTGTGCTGGATCATGAGTTTTGTGATCATCAGGATGGAATGAGAGGTAGAGTTGAGTGTCATCAGCATAGCAGTGATATAAAAAAGCCATGTTTCTGAATGACAGAACCTAGTGATGCCATGTAGACAGAGAAGAGAAGTGGTCCAAGAACTGAGCCCTGAGGCACCCCAGTAGCTAGATGTTGCGACTTGGACACCTCACCTCTCCAAGATACCTTGAAGGACCTATCTGAGAGATAAGACTCAAACCACTGGAGTGCGGTTCCTGAGATGCCCTTTGCCAATAGGGTTGACAGGAGGATCAGGTGGTTAACCGTATATTTTTTAATTTGTAAGAATTTTCTATCCATCTCTTCCAGGTCAAAACAGACCCGAATGCATCATGATGGTTAATCTTACTATTATATAGTCCAAAAAGTATGTCCAGGACAAACTGGGAGGAACAATCAGCTACAAGAGTGAGACAAGCCTGTTATTTTAACAGCTCACGTATAAAATTTGAAGCCTAGAAACACTAACTGTTTCTAGGTTTGGCTAGAAACAGTTGTTGGCTGTTAAAATTGGCCTAAAAATATTGTTGGCTATTAAAATTGTGAAATTGTGAAAATGAATTTGAGGATTACATGAAATGGATTTAAACAGAGCTGGGAAAACTGTACTTGATAGATGAATTAACTGTTATGTAGAAACCTTTAAATGACATGAACTGAACTGACAAAATGTGAATTGAATGCACATAATCAAAGTAGCCACAATATCTGGTTTGCTTTAGATGCTTTAGGTTTAGACAGTCATCAGTCTGTGTGTGAGTTCATACATTTACTCAAACAAGAGAGCCTTCAGAGAGCCACTGTAATATAAAGAGCAGATATTTACTCAGGACCGCAGGTACACTGTAAGGCTCTGCCATTTCAAGTATATGACCACCTCGTGCAAAAGAAGAAATTAAATGTCAAATTTAGGCTATCATGAAAGCAAAAGCATATGGTTAATTTTGAGGAGTATTCCCTCAAATTCCAAACTAACAGCGACAGAATGGAATATGTCAAACCCTAATGAGGTTTGGACGAATTAAAGTGGACTAACGCAGGTGGCTTTTATTTATAAAAGAACTCTGGAAGAATTTGAACTTGAGTTTGCATGTTAAAACTCTAGAGCTTTTCAGAAACAAGCACACGATATCTGCTGAGCGAAATTCAGTATCTACAAACGAGGAAATAGCATCCACATTTGGACTACAGGCAATGCTTGGCAAACAGTCTTTTACCTTTGAGATACGATTTTATATGCATCCGGGAGGTAGCAGTTAATGTTCTCCATCTGGAAGGGGTCTGCGTCGCATATCTTGTCGTCTGTGCGGCCGTAGTTGGCGGTTTCGATCATGATGACATCACTCCCCGGGCAGCGCAGATCGATGGGGTAACCCTCACACGACAGCTCTCTCCGCACCAGACCGAACGGCAGCGCTGCACGACTGAAGGCTGGAGGAAAGACAGGCAGATCACAGGTCAGAGGATTTCAGCTTTAATGGCCCACCAACACTGAACACAGAAAAACCTAAAACAGTGCGTCTTTGTGAAAGACTTTGAGTGCAACCGGTTTCAAAACAGTTTCCTATTTGAACTGGCAGACACTTTTGCAAATCTTGCTTTTTGTTTTATTAAATATCCTTTCATTTGAAAAAATAAAAAAAAATCCTTTCTCATTTGAAATAAAAAAATAAAAACGGAAAACTTAATGCATTTTATCTAAGTTAAATGAAAGGTTTATATATATATATATATATATGTATATGCATGTGTATATATGTATATGTATGTATGTATGTATGTGTGTGTGTGACCCTGGACCACAAAACCAGTCTTAAGGGTAAATTTTTTTAAATCGAGATTTCTACATCATCTGAAGCTGAATAAATAATATTTTCATTGATGTGTGGTTTGTAAGGATCTGACAATATTTGGCTGAGATACAACTATTTGAAAATCTGGAATCTGAGGGTGCAAAAAAAATCTAAATATTGAGAAAATCATCTTTAAAGTTGTCCAAATGAAGTTCTTAGCAATGCATATTACTAATCATAAATTAAGTTTTGATATATTTACGGTAGGACATTTACAAAATTTTTTTTTTTGCAATGCATGCAACATTTAATGAAATGACTATGAATTTAAGACTTTCTGCTCCGATTTCAGATCATTTAAAGTCTCAATTTGTGAAAAAAGCAAATTAAGACTTTTTTAAAAACTGCGCTGAAAATAGATCTGATCTGTTATCTGGTTACAGAAAATACTTAATATAGACATATAGACAAATGTGCTCTAATTGGGAGACTGGGTCAATCATTTTTATCTGCGGAAATATTAGCTAAATTTAAACATGGAAGAAAAACTCATTTTTTTCCCCCCCTAAAATTATATTTTAGCATTCCGTATTACTGATATAACTTTGAGAAGCATGTTCTATTGTACGATCTATATGTTCACTAATGCTACAAATCCACCTATACTTTGCTTTATGAAAAACTAACACATGCCCAACTGTAAATATTATAAACACTTAAACTAGAAGAACACTAAGGTATTTCAACTGGCAGTTTCGAGAGAATGTGTTGGTGTTTGTGTAAGATTTATGCATCTACGGCTATGTATTTGTTTATTTTGTATCCAGTATGACATGCAGAGATAACCATAAGTAAGGCATTTCTAAGCCGGCTGACTTCAATTTTGTGGTGTTCTCGAGACACTGAGCTCAGACTCAAGCCTCAGGGTTTGTTTCGCAAAACGACCAGCCGACTGTTCAACATCCCTGACTAATGTGATGCATTTCTGAGTGAAACGATAATACTTACTGGAAAACGATGTGGGCAAGACTTCACTGTGTCCTTTGTAGCATGCATGTGTCATTTCACTGGCAGAGAACCTGACTTTATCTTGATAATGAGCTTTTGGTGTTCTTTGGAAAGACGTGCACAGATAAACAGTGCAAAGTAAACAGGCTTTCAGTTGAGCTTTCTGTTGTCATACTCTGCAGTCTCAAACATGTTGCTCCACTCACTGGCTCTCTAGAGTCGATATTTATTTCCACACACCAGCACAGTTTTTCAAACTCACCTTCTGCCAGCAGCAGTCGAGATTTACATCAAAGCTGGGAAAGCAGTAACAGTCGCCCTAAACGAGCCTGCCAAAGCGTGTGGCTCTTTATCTCACGCTTTCTTTTAACTTAACTCATGTTAAGGGGGAATCCGATGCCATACATAATACATTACATGCAATGTTCCATGCATTGCCATGGCAACAGATCTAGCTGGATTGTAATTAGCTGTGATCCTGTTCCATTGGACTTGACTTGGAATTTTATCAGGAATTCTGGTCAGTGGCTGGAAAAGTAGTTTTCTTATGCATCTTCCTGGTGTTTGCTGTGGGCTCAAGCCAGCATAGCCAATATCGTTTCACAATATACCCCATTTTCTGCTGCTCAACAGAACTTTATTTTATTTATTTATTATGCAGGTAAGACCTCTTCCAATTATTATTATTATTATTTTTTTGCAGGTAAGACCTCTTGACAATGATTTATTTATTTTATTTTATTTATTTATTTTTGTCCCCAGTGTTTCAGGGTCTCAAAGCGGCTCGGCTCACAGTAAACTTTTCTCACCAACTCCATCTCTGTGTGCGCTCCGAGTTCATGCATTTCTGGAATGCCTTTTGGTTCACTTTATTTACACATTTGCATAATTTCCAACATTTCTGTGGACAGAAGTTTACAGAAATTCCCCAAAATAAAAGCTTGAGGATTTGACCATTTAAAAGTGAAGAACTTAAGGCATAAACATTGGTAACTTGTAGAGTTAAATTATCTTTATAATGATCAAATATTGTTTTTTTACTTAACAGTACAACTGTAAGTTACAACAGTAATATATTTATGTCTCCATTATAATAATTAGATTTAAAGACTAAAAAAGGTCTTCGCTGAGATGTTTAATAACTAACTAACTAACTACCTAAAACTAAATAACTAACTAAATAAATAAATAATTTTCTATACATATATTATTTATATTTATAGAATATATTCTACATATATTTATACACACACACACACATACATACATATATGCATAATATTCCCCATTTATGACATATAAGATTAAATATATAGCAGCATGTCTTTAAGACCATTAACAAGCAGGTAATTTTTGTTTGTTTTCCAGTTTTGCTACTATTTTCAATAATTTCTAACTTTCCTCGTGGAAAGATCCCCGCTCGGTGACCATTTAGGCAGAATGTCTCCCAAGCGTGCGAGTGTGAGGGCCGCTTCCAGCAGGATTCCTGCCTGTCACCCTCCATTAATGCAAATTTGATTGGCCTTTGTGGCTTTAGGAACAGCAAACAGCTGCATGCAAATCCAACACACTCCCGTGTGTGTGTGTGTGTGTGTGTGTGTAAAATATCCTATTCAGGACAGTACTAAATAAAAAGTAATATTTTGTATAATTCCTCTTATTCTTGGTCAAATATTTAACATTTGCTTGATTCTGCAAGATGTACAATACAAAGTACAATGTGTGCAAAAAAAAAAAGTGCAGTAGTAGTGAGCTACTTAAGGAACCGAAGGGCAAAACTAAATCCTGACAGACAAAAGCAGGTTCCAGGCTGTGACTAATCCACACCAGACCTGGAACACACTGACTACAGAGATGAAGAAACATGCATGTATGGAAAAACACTCAGGGACGTGTCTGACAACAGGCATCTTTATCATTGAAGACACATTACTAACAACTATCATGAAAAAAATAAGTTTTTATAGACTATACTTACAAATATCAACAAATGAGTATTACAATACTCTGATATAATTATTATCAGTCAGAAGGATTTTTTGTAACAATGTCTGTAAATGAATTGTTACTGAGTGCGTCTGTAATGTTTATGGTCAATTCACATAGTATACGCAACATTAAGTTGGGTGTCCCTACTGTCTACACAAATAAATATCTGTATGTTTTCTTGCAGGGAATGTTAAATATAATAATCGGGTATTTTTAGTGAATATGTCTAACTTTGGAAAATGCCATATTATCACTTTGTGTTTCTGGCAAGAAAGGTGTTCTTTTAAATCTGAGGTTTTTGTCGGAGTGTTGTCTCTCACACCAAAACATCTCAAGAGGTGAGCGGGAACAGCGCTTGAGAGGAGTGATTAAAATGCTTTAAACAAAGAGGTGGAAATCCTGTCGATTTGCTATAATACACAGTTCATCACTGACTTTCAGAGTTCATTCATGTGTTTTTTGGTGTCACTCAGCCTGATGGTTTGGCTGTACTGGAACTATTTTCATTGGTTGGAAGCAATAATTGGTCAAATTTGGCCTATCATCAAATTGGGCCTTCACACTAAGTGTGATTAATATACAAATGCGAATATACGCAGCAATGGTGTTCTTGAATCAATACAATAAAACCATAAGGAGCTATTCACATTGTGCGCGATCAATCGTGGTGGGACAAAGCAAGTTTTTTTTCCAACCAGTGTGACAATGAAATGAGCTGCGCAATCAGATTGAGCTTTAGATCTCGTTCCCGGAGGTGCTGCTTTTGCACCGAAAGCGGTTTTGAAAACCAGTGCAAACTGTGATACATTGTGTAATGCAGCAAAAACACATTGTAAAGAGAAACCACTGATGCTCCACAGAGCGCAAACACAAGTATGTGTTGAAGCATTCGCCAAATCGGTTTCGCCAATATCCTATTTTTGTAGCCTTAACTGAGTATGCGTTTTTTCTTTAGTTTTGAGGCTTAGCACCCCCGTAGAACCAGGCCTGGCTTCTCTGGCTTTGTGTTTCTATGCGCCAACATTTAAATGATTCTTCTTCTCAGTGGTCAAGAACGATAGGTTGAATGATGGCAGCGCCACCCGTCATGCAGGCGTGAATAAGCCGAAAACAATCAATCGCTTTCATGTTCAGTGTGAAAGCATGATTCGTCTGTGATTCGCTTCACTTTATTGCATCGCACTCAGTGTGAAAGAGCCTTTAACCGTACAGAATTCACTCTACAATCTTCATCAATCTTGTAAAAAATCTATTTTGTTTAACTGTATAAGCAGTTTAACTGTTGATTTGCCATTACATGTACACATTGCTTTCACTTTTGCCTACTTTGAGGTTAGGTTCTAGATTATCGATTAAGCTTAAGTCATTATGCATGTGTTAAAGTGATTTAACTTGCACACCATTTTGGGTTCAACCCAGCAGCAACAGTTGATTTAACACAAACAAGAATTGGATTCGTATCTAGTTTCACCTACCAATGTTGACCTAAACCGTGTTGTTTTTAACCTAGCGTTGGTTGTGCATTTGCAGATTGTTTTTTGCAAATATGAATTAGGTTATGAGATGTGAAGGACAACACAGAGGTGAATGACCAGCGCTGAAACTCATTTCATGACACTTGAATTTTGCTCTGTTATCTGA